GTATGCTATTGTGTTGTCTCTACATTGTTTGACTGCTGAGAAAATAACAACTGATAAAGGAAATGATGCTGGATTAATTCAATTTATATATTTTAAAAATGCTTTGACTCCAACATTTAAGTTTAAGGACAAGTTACTGGGGAAAAGGATTTCTATTTTTGTTTCCACAGAAAATAAAAAGCTGTGGATTCCTTCCAGACTTGTGTGGTTTGATCAAGCCAGACCCCTGAAACAGAGGACCAGGTGATCCTACATTCAAAATAGCTGAACAAAGCAGCCTTGCAGACTACAGCCAAGATTTCTGTGTCTTCTCATGATCCCCCATGACAGTGCCCCCTGTCAGCAGGAAGTAGTTTGGAAAGAACGACGTCCAAATTCCCAAATATTGTTTATAAATGTTTGGTTTCATTTAAATGGACTTGGGTATAAATGGTTAATGATCACAGCCAGTTCTTTTTAAAGGTAAAAAGGGAATTATGGTATAGATATGAATACTTTGTTTTGGAATGGATTTTCATTTATTGATACAATTTAAGGTCAATAAGGTGATATGTATATTTCTCCTCTTGTTTGTATAGCTCATTTAGAAACGTAATGTATAATGTAGTACAGATTATAGATAATTACCTATGATAGTCAAAGCTTAGAGTTTAGTTAGGGTTTTCAAGATACACAGAGATGTATTTGAGATAGATAGGCATTCTTCAAACCTTTCAAAGACCTACAGAATATGGCATTTAAAATGGTTTAGGGTTTTCGTGACAGTGAGACATAATTGCTCTTGGCAATACCACCTGCACCAGAAAGGAAGATGGACATCGAAGAAATGCATTATGACGTTTGCTTCCAATATGGCAAGACTAGCCATTTGGACAAGATACTGCTCTTGTCTGGACTGTTTGACTTTGTGATGTATAAACTGGACATGCAGGACCCACAGGAAAGTGACTCCTGATTCAAGATGGACATTGCTACAGAGATCCTGCTTCATGGAAGAGTCTTCGAGACAGTATGCAGGACACAGAGAAAAGTGACTGACAAACTGCCAATAAAGAAGACAGTTTAAAGTTTTCTGCTTTACTGGAGAGTCTGTCAGACATACTATGGCCTATGGGCTGAAGATGGAAGATTACAGAAGAACTTCGGGTGACTGAAAAGGCAAGATGTCTCTGTCATTTCTAGAGCTTATATATTATCCTTCTGTGGTCTTTGAAGGAGTTGAAGACAGATAGTTATAGTTATAGTTTTCCTTAGTATTAAAGATAAGTTACTTTAGACACACAAAGATAGGATAGATGATGGAATATTTTCTTCAAATCTTGCTAAATGTTAATGGACTAAATAGTGTTAACTGTGATTATTTGATAACTGTTATGTGATATATTTTGCTATGTTAAGGTTAAAACCCTTCATGTTATTTTAGACAGAAAAGAGGAGATGATGGGAGATGTCATTCTGTATATGTTTCTCATACTGGTTAATAATAAAGCACTGTTGGCCAATAGGAAAGGAAGATAGGAGGGACTAGGAGACAAGGAGGAAATAGGAAGTAGTAAGGAGGAGTCAAGATGGAGAGTCTGAAGAAAGCAGTATGCCGCCGGCTCCCCGGTAAGAGAAAAACATAGATCAGCAGAAATGGGTTAATAATTAAAGGCAGGGCTAGCCGATAAGAAACAAGTAACTGGGCCAACAGTATTGTATCAAATACAGAGTCTCTGTGTATTATTTGGGGCTGGCGGCGCAGCAGCAGGACAAGAACAGGCGGCAGGCAGAAAAACCATACTGTTACAAGAGAGAGAGAGAGCATAGGAAGCCATTATACGTTTGAATAGAAAACTGACTCTAGAGAAATGTACAGAGACCTACAACACTGACCCCAACTAACAATCTGAGCAACAGTGGAAAGGCTACCATAAATGCCCTTCCCTGATAATGAGATTGATTACTAACTTATCCACTATCATGGAGCCCTCATCTAGTAGCTGATGGAAACAGAAGCAAAACCCACAGCTAAACACTGAGCCAAACTGGACTCCAGATGCAGAGAGGGAGGACAAGAACAGGCTACAGAAACCCACAGAGACAGCTGACCTGAACAACGAGGAGCTATCGGGTCCCTAGATTGATAGCTGGGAATCCAGCATTTGACTGACTCAGACCCCCTGAACATGAGTCTTGGTTAGAAGGCCTGGGCAGTCTAAGGGATCTCTGACAGAGGAACCAGGATGTATCCCTGGTGCACGAAAGGACTTTGGGAGCATATCCCCCATGGAGGGATACTCCCTTAACCTAGAGACAGGAGTGAAGGCCTAGTACCTACTTCAAATGACTTGACAGATTTAGATGACCCGTCCTGGAAAGCATCACCCTACATGTGAAGTAGGAGTGGGTGGGAGGGGAGGCATGGGAATATGGGAGAGAGAGAGGATTGAGGGAGAGGGAGGGAACTGGGATTGATATGTAAAATAAGAAAAATAAATAAAAAAAAAATTTAAAAGAAAAAAAAAAAAAAAAAAAAAAAAAAAAAAACCCAACTACCAGCCCCATGAGGACACATGTGGGTATAACCAGCAATTCATCATGCTGTGAGAGTACCACTAGAACCACTCTGCTGAGGGGCACATCTGATGGGCAAGGTGAGGCCCATCAGGAGCAGTCGGGGAAGGGAGCCTCACACAGCAGGGCACAAGGAATTCATCCTCTTGATAGGCAGGTTCACCACTGTGGGACAAGCATCAACACCTATTTCCCTGTGGCCAATTAAGGTGAAGGGTTGGGGCCTAATGTTATGGCCATGTCCAAGATGCCCAGAGCTTCCTTGCCCTTGAACTCCCTTCAGACTCTTGGAAATGAGCTCTTGTCCCCACAGAGAGACTCGGGCCTGGTGAGCTTTGTGCAGGTCTTCCAGCCTTCCAGATCTCCAGCCTCAATTATAATATAGTCAGAGCAGAGATTCCAGCAGGGGGATCCTCAGGTCCTTCCAGCTTCTGGGTACCCCCTTTCCCATGGACCCTCCCAAGCCATCCATGATACCTAAATGTGAACCAAGAGCCACCTGCATACTTTATCACTCATAAGGACCATGACCCCCCTACTACCATCCAACATGCAAGCTGGGAGCCACTAACCTAGTCTTCTCATCACAGCTAGCTTCCGTCTCAGCACCCAGGCTCCATCCCCTCAGGTAAAGAAGAGCAAATGCATGCTGAGATGGCCAGGGATCTGCACAAACCCTAGACCAAGAGATCATAATTGTACCAGGCCCCAAGACAGCATAGATTCTGGGAAGGGGAAATATCATCACCCAGCTCCAGCTCCAGCCCCAAATGCCTTAGAGTAGCCTATTTTCTTTAGAGTTTAGTAGCCCTTGTGGTCCCAAATAGCAATCTTTGTCTCATTCGGCTGTACTATACCCTAAACCCTTTACCTGCATCTGGCACTGTTAATCAGTTTTCTGCTCCCATCACCCCTTTCCTTAGGGACAACCTCCTCCTAGGTTCTTCTGCCTATCCCCCAGGGTCGCTGCACCCCAAAAGTGTCTACGCACAGTTGAATCTGGGCAATGCTGGCTACTCTTAAGATAGGAACCAGTGTCAGGTTAAGAAGCATCCCAAGTTCCTATTCTAGCCAAGCCTTCTAGGCCAAATCCCTTTCCCTAAGCTCAGCTTGTCCTCTGAGAAACTCCTCCTAAGGTCCAAATGTTCTGCTCCTCCTCAACCAGCAGCTTCACCATCTGTCCAGGCACCAGTTACCTGTAAGAGCAGGTGACTAGGGTTTTCTACTCCTGGTACTCGCTGTTGCTACCAGGCTTTCCCTACCTGGGCCTGTATTTCCTCCACCCACCTGCCCTGCTGATCAGTTCAGACACTCTTCCCACACACACATCTTCCACTTGCCACTCCTCACGTCAACCCACCCAGCATGCAGCTGCTCTGGCTCCTTCTCCAAACACTGAGTTGATAAGAGGCTCCCCTACACTTGGGTGGCCCCAGTCTCCTGGGTAAAGCCCCTACCCCTCAGAACTCTTGCTCACCTCTAGCCTCCACTGTCCGCATCCATCCACATTCCTTCAAGGCTCCTGCAGTCCCTGCTGCAGCTGTATCGCCTGACCTCCCCCTGAAGGGAGCGAGTGTACCTCCCAGCTTTGCACCTGTTGGACCCACAGCACGACCTTTCCACCCATCCTCACCCCACTGGAACTTCCTTCTTTCTTCTCCAATCAAGATTTGGAAACTTCATGCTGAAGGATGGTCATAAGCAGCAGCCTTGCACCTGCACATCGGGGATCCCTGGGGATGTCTCTATGGTAGAATGGATGCTCTGCCAGCTAAGACTATAGCCTCCCAAGGGAAGGACCAGATTGTGTGTTGCACTCCTTGCCCCAGCACAGAACACAATGTTACAGGTTTTTGAAGGCCTTCAAAAACACTTTCTGGGAAAGCAGATGGCTGGGTGGAGTGTGGATGCCTTTGAAGAACCTGTGGTGTCTAATAATTGAGAAGGCCGCCTCTCCCTCACCCACCCCCTCTGTAAAGAAGGTTTCCCTCTATCTCTCCACTCAAGGAATTGGGTACAGACCCAGCTTCATGACCCCTTTCTTGGCATCCTCATTGGATAACTCTCTCACAGCTCCTACAAGTTTTTTAGGCACATGGTAAACTATTTTTCCACTAATCCCAATTTCTCCAAGTTGTCTCATCATTATCAGAGAAGGGGCTGACTCTCCCTTCAATGTTACTGTCAGTTGCAATAGGTCTTCCATGTATGATCTTGAAAGTGTGGTCATGAGCATTCCCATCACTGAGCAAACATGTGCATTTAAAAACATCACAGCAGGTAGAATCCAAATCTGACCTTCTTCCATTCACTGTATCTACTCTCAGGGTCACAGACTGTGGTCCCAAACCAGCTGCCACCTTGCCTCAGGAGATAAGGGTACCATACCTCCCTCCAGGAGGAAATCTGTATCCACCCATGGCAAGACCCTGTTATAGACTCACCATGTTCATGACAGTGAGGATGAACCTCTGTGCAGCCTCTGCCCCGTGGTACTGCACCATGTCGGCATCGGCCACCACCAGGGTCTCCACAGTGTGCTCATTGGTGAGCCTGATGGCATTCCTCCGCTCCCTCCAGTCCCGCGATGGCTTGTCCTTCTTAGGTTTCTTTTCTAGAAAATGATGGAGACATTTGTGCAGTTCTTGGCTTATTGATTTATGAAAGCATACCATGAAAGGCCCCAAGAGAATGGGTCAATCTCAAGTGGCCTGGAATGAACCCCAAGCTTTCAGATCTCCTTGGTTACAGTGGTGGCCTATGTTCCCAGCCACTGGTGGCACCAGATAGGAGCCAGAGAAAGAGCTTGAGGGACCGGGCATCAAATGAAACTCTAGCTTGTTCATCCTTACAGTCAAGGAGGTACTTGAGGATGAAAATAGAAACCTGTTCCTAATACTGAAAATGGAGAGCCACACACAGCAAGTAGGGAGAGAAGCCTGCACCCAGAAATGAGGGATATGGGGGCTCTTCAGGGTGATGACACAGGCATGTGTGACAGGTACTCCCACTTTCCTAATGACATCTGGGATCAAGGCAATGGATTTGTTGAGGCTGGGATAATCCCTTGTGAGATAAGCATCCCAGCAACTGTGCTGAGAATTAAGAAGGGGCCATAAAAATCAACAGGTATAGAAGCATCAGAAAAGTATAAGATTATAACACACACCCAGACTATTCATTTGCTTTTTCCTCAAAACAAGGAAGGGTAACTAGTAAATGTGTGGGATTCCTCTACTGAACTTTTCAGGTAAATTGCTCCTCCATGCAATCTTACTTAGACAAACATCTATTGTCACTCACAGAGCCCACCTCTGAAGGTGGAAGGCTGCTGAGTGAGGGCTGACAAGGCCTCTGTATGTGGTAATGACTCTGCCTGGCACAACAGGCAGATATGAATGGAGTGCACCCTTGGAATCCAAATGTGAAAAGCAATTTGATACTTCCTATTTCCATCTTAGCAGTGGTTTACACAGAAAGGATTCTGTAACATTGTTCACACAGTAAAACACCACTTCTGTACCGAGTCTTCATCAAGGTGACCTATCTTCATTCCAGAAGCAAAAGCAAATATCATGAACATGCTGGATCTCTGGGTGGGATTTTGTAAACAGTATTGCTGCTCAACGTATTCTACAATCTTGAGAACCTGGGAAGCCATCAAAATCCCCAACTGTAGAGAAAGCTGCCAAGGTTAAGAAGAATTCAACCTTGAAAATCAGGTCTAGGGAGACCCTGTAATGTGGAGAGACAGCTATAATCCTTATACACGGTTGGGTCCCAAATTTACAGAAACACAATATGAACAAGTACTCTCAAGGAAATGAATAAGTAAATGAGCAAGCAAACACTAACACGTTAATATGAGTGACACGCAACATGCATTTTCTGTTCTTCCTCAGCACGCTCTATACCTGTACAATGACAAAGGAGTGATTTAGCTATCCTCTTATTCAAAAACAAAATCTGAACTTGTAAAAAACTACAGAAACCACTTTTAAACTCTAAATGATAAAAACAGAAGGCATCTGGAAGCAAAATATATCACCAGACTCATCCTAAATTTGTAAAATGTAAGACAAGGCTATCTCCTCACGCCACAGAATGTTCCAGCCTTCTGAGCCTCACAGGAGAACAGGAACAGGACAAAGTCCCCTAGCTGGAAATCTAGAGACTCATACCCACATTCTCCAACACTAGAAATGCATAGCAAAATGGTGCCCATTCTCTGGTCTCCCCACCCTTATAAACCCAAGTAGTTTGGGTATGAGCAAACTGTCTGACAAGGGATGTGTAAAGAATCACTCTGTTTTGTTTTAAAGCAACAGAGTTGAGGGACAACCTTCCCAAAGAAGAGTTTTGTTGGAACCTGCGTGCCAACCTTCGCCCAGGTGAACAGCCACAGCTCACAGGTGGCCTTAGCTTGTCTTAATGCCTACTCAGAATTCATCTCTGGACACTGCCATCTGCAGGTGTTCTCGCCTGCAGATGTTCCCACTGGCTGTGCACACTTGTTTTTCCACTTTGTCATAGCACAGGAAAGACCTGCATTTTGAAGCCAGTCCTAACAGATGCATTAAAATGCCATTCTAAGAGTCTGAACTATGAGTCTGCAGAGCCCAGATGTGGCCTGCCACCACCCGACAGGAGGAGCAGATGCACCCTGGACATTTAACACTGGGTGTCAGCCTTCCCAGTCTACCCTCCAGAACTAATAATAACACCGGCCTCTCTCTCTCCATAATGAATCTGACAAACTATGTAATATGATAGTATGTGTTAGACATAGTACTACAACCTGTAGACCCAGTTACTTGGGAGTCTTGAGACAAGAGGACTGCTTCAGTTTGGAAGTTCAGGACCATCCTGAGCAGCAAGCTCTAAACAAAACCAGAGGCATGAAAAGCAGAGAGTGAACATGGACCCTGGGGGCATCAGGAAGCAGGTGAAATACCATGATCCGGGCTCTGTGGTCTGAAAGGGTTTTCACTCTGGATGTCACATTTGCTCCTCCTATTGTTAAAGTTCCCTGTAGCATCCTTGGCGGGAAATCCTGAACAAACTCATGCAAGGAACAAATGAAGATTCTCACTTAATGACAGCCCCACACTTTAGTACAGGCCAGGCCTTATCACAAAATGAGTGTCAAAAACTCTGGTTTTGTTCTTGCTTGGGGTTTGTTTTAGTTTTGTTTTCTATTTCAGCTTTTCCATTTTTTTCTTTATTATTTGGCATTTTTTTATAATCAGTGCACAATATTGTCTAAATATTTACATAGCATATTAATTTGGTACTTGCATAAAGTATGCAATGATTAAATCAAGGCAATTAACATTTCCCCTTCCTTAACATTTATCATTTCCATCTGCAGGAAGCCTTGGGATCCTTCTTCAATAGTTACCTTTAGAAATAAATCATAAATTACTACAGATCATAGTTGCCTTACTAAGTAACAGAAGACCACAACTAGGCCATGGGCCTGCTGGATCATGCTTGTGACCCCAATACTCAGGAGGTTGAAGCAAAAGAGTCACAAGTTCAAGACCAGCCCTGGCTACACAGTAAGATCCTATCTCAAAAACAAGAGAACTTCAGAACCAGTTTCTCCTACCAAGTTGCACATGAGTGCAATTATCTAACCCCTCCACCTCTCTGTTTCTCTATTCCAGTACTTCTCAACCTTCTTAATGCTTCGTCCCTTTAATACAGTTCCTCATGTGTATTAAACCCCAACCATAAAATTATGTTGGGGTGACACCAACCATAAAATTATTTTGTCGTTACTTCCTAACTATAATTTTGCTACTGTTATGAATCATAATATAGATATCTGATATATAGGATATCTGACATGCAACCCCTGTGAAAAAGTCATTCAACACCCCCAAAGGGGTCATGACCCACAGGTTGAGAACCACTGCTCTATTCAGTCTTCACAAACCTGGATTTGGGGACTCGAATTGTCTTCCCATGCAGGTGTCCCTCTTGGGGGTGGGGATGGGTGGAAGCCCTTGGGAGGGGGCCTTCCTTCCCTCCACTCTTATTACCTCCCCCTCCAATAGTGCTCATGGGGGCTACTGCACTGAGGAGAGAGCCTCAACACGTGTTATCTTCAACTTCCAGGACATAAATATACCCACGTGGAGAGAGCACAGATACCACCATGCTCACCAGCACCTTCAAGGCAAAAGACACACAAGTCTTAGGACCACACAGTGCTGTTTCCCATCACTGGAGAGATCAGTGACTAGATGGGGGGTGTCCCCAAGCTCTGCTGCCAAGCCACTGTGGGAGGGGGGGCCCTACACTGCCAACCAGAACACACCCTAGCCAGGTTGGTCCCTGGCTCTCCACTGTTACCCGGGACACGAGGAGTCATTTCTAAAGCCAAGCCTGCTGCTTCCTTTCTCAGCACATTGCTGGGCTACTAATCACCTGGAGATCTTAAATAACTACTCCCACTTTCATTTTGCATTTATTCTCCCTTTACTCCAATTAACCATGGAAGCAGACAATTTGAAAGACTTATAGAAGACATTAGGTTTTTAAGGATAAGACAAAGGAGAGGGAAAAAGAAAACCTATGAAGCTATGAAGGGCAGTCTAAACGTTGGACTTTTACAAAATTTAAACAACAATTTGGTCTATAAGTTGGAGAACTGTCAAAAGTGCTCACACAAATGGAGACTGGGGAGGCGGCGCAAGTGCTCTGACAAAGCACATGCAGTGAAAGCCTGAGTTTGAGCCCCCAAAACTATGCAAAAAGCTAGGCACGGGAATAACCTGTAGCCAGGCCCATGGAGATGGGCTAGACAGGACAATTCACTGGGGCTTGCTAGCTACCAGCCCACTTCCAGGTTCAGTGAGTGACCATGTCCCAAGGAAATAGGTGGAGAATAAAAGAACAGGGCACCTTATGACCTGCTCTGGCCTCTGCACACACAGACACCTACATCAGCACATGCATGTACACACACACCACACAGTACACATTTACCACTTTCATGCATACAAATGCACACATTAAAAATACATAATGGGGATCAGATGGTGGTGGCTCATGCCTTTAATCCAGCACTGGGGAGGCCAAGTGGATCTAAGTTTGAGTCCAGCCTGTTCTACTGTCTCAAAAAAAAAAAAAAAAAAAAAAAAAAAAAAAAAAAAAAAAAAAAAAAAAAAAACAAGATAAAACAAAGCACAAATGATTGTATAGCTACTACTAATTTTGCTCTTGCTTAAAGCTCTGGGTTTTATCTCCAGCTTCAAAAAAAAAAAAGTATTTAAGCAATCCCTGGGGTAAACAGATTAAAAAAAATAAAATAAAAATATTGGACTGAAATCTCTCCTTGAATTCCTCTATCTCTTGCTGTGCTAGACCCTAGTGTCCTAAAGTCATTTCCAGAGATGGTCTCAATGTACTCTTTGTGCCCAGGCACAGGAAGAGCATGTCTTTCTCCATCACAGAAGCAAATTAGATGACAGAGAAAAACAGAATGGAGGAAATAAGGGAAGATGTCCAAGGACATTGGTCAACCTTGAGAGGACAGGCACTTCAGGCCATGGTGGCAATAATTAGTGGCACTAATGGGAAATGCCGACAGTTGAGTAAGGGAAG